GAGCGAATAGAGGAATTGTGGGTTGTGTGTGCTTTTAAAGGCAGAGAATGGAGCTACGTTATTGGTGGGAATGTGGCAACGAGAAAAACAAGAATAAATTAGCACACATTCCACTAATTTATTCTTGTTTTTCTCGTTGCCATGTTCCCACCAATAACGTAGCTCCATTCTCTGCCTTTAAAAGCACACACAACTCACAATTCCTCTATTCGCTCCGACGAAGGGCTAATGCTCGAAACGTCAGCTTTTGTAATCGTTATGGTGGCCAATTTACCACTTCAACTTTGTTGATATATCCAAATTATTTTCTTTGTTATAGATGGGTGATGATGACAATACTCAGGTAGACTGTCAAACATTCTGTAGCTGGGCAAAACAAAACTGCCCAAGAGTGTTTGATGGAATTCACTGCTGGATGAGAAAAATGCTCCTACACAGAGGAAGTTCAACAGCATTGATCACTTCAGAGGTATAGCTGCTGTTACGCCCTGTTATCTACTGAGAGGAGGTAGTGTGGCCTAGTGGTTAGGGCACTGGCTAGTAATCTGATGGTCCCAGGTTCAAGCCCTCTGCCCTGCCACTCACTGAATTTGTTCTGGGTTGCCCCAAGTTCAACTCCCTGGCTACTCTTAGTATGTAGCCAACTTGTCTGCCTTACTGCCAGTTGGGATTGGTAGATGCTATGTTCATTCATTCATTCATTCATTCATTCATTCATTCATTCATTCATTCATTCATTCATTCATTCATTCATTCATTCATTCATTCAGTCAGTCAGTCAGTCAGTCAGTCAGTCAGTCAGTCAGTCAGTCAGTCAGTCAGTCAGTCAATCATTCATTCATTCATTTTCATTCATTTTCATTCATTTGTACTGGCCCTGTAAAGCCCCATTGCAGGAGTGGTCAATTAGGGTTAAAGCAGCATCTTGGTTTTTTCATTTTTCCTTCCCGTTTTGTTTTATCAACACAATAATTTATTGAGCCCTTGCAGCTAGAGAGAGAAGAATACACTTGTTCTGGCATACAAGCCATTTTAGAAAATTCAAGAGTTGAAGCAGCAGAATGTACGAGGGTGCTATAACTGTTTTGGATAATTTTCAGACAAGTTAAGCATGGTAGTTGTTTACTGTAAATTGTCATTTGACTGTTTAATATTTGGTGTCACTGCATATTTATGTTACAGGGATTTCCAGCAATACCATTCATCTTAGATCCCATACACAGCCATTCATTATTAAATACAGAAACCCTGTGGATTCTCTCGACCATCCTGCCACCTTGTTTCATCAGAGTTACCCTTCCAACATTCAACACAGGCAGTCTCCAATCAGAAGTCGTAGAAGAGAGAATTGCAAAACCTGTAGAGAAAGTGAGCTAACTTCTTCTTGCAACACTATAATTAGTTCTTATTAACCGAGTGGGAGGTCTGTATGGGAGAATCTTGACCGAGGCCAAGATTCTCCCATACAGACCGACCTAACTTGGTTAATAAGATATTTATTATATGGCTGTGTCTTACATGCCAATTAATTTTTTTTTGTATTCTTTGTTCTTTTTTTTTTTTCTAGACCGTCAAGAAGGGAAAAGCTAGACCGCTTTCAAAATTGATTTCAGCCAATCAAATTCATGAATTCGTTAGTTCCCAGTCCTTGTGAGACACAGCCATACGATAAATACCACTTACAAACCGACTTTGAGGTCCGCATTGTAAGTTACGGACTGGTGTTTTCGTTTTTCGCTCTGCCCAGGCGACACGCGGAGCGCGCGCGCCTTAAGAGAGGTACAGTAGCTGACAATGCTTACAATACGGACCCCGGGAAACGAGGATAGTAAGTTAAGAGAGGTACAGTAGCTGACAATGCTTACAATACGGACCCCGGGAAACGAGGATAGTAAGTTAAGAGAGGTACAGTAGCTGACAATGCTTACAATACGGACCCCGGGAAACGAGGATAGTAAGTTAAGAGAGGTACAGTAGCTGACAATGCTTACAATACGGACCCCGGGAAACGACGATAGTTAGAAGTATTATTTTATCTCTGAGTTTACATGGACGGAGAAGATTTCAGTTCAAACAAACTTCTGAATTTAGCGGGTCGCTAAATTGACCAATCATATAGAGCACTTATCAACTGAGAGATAAAATAAAGATGTGTCATTCTCGATTGTTGTTTAAGACTGACGAAAAAGAAAAAGAAGCCTGACTTTATTCTAAGACAGCATGGTCTTAAAATTATGAACAGAATGGTCAAAGCCGCTGTAGCTGGGTAGCAGATTGGTGTGGGCTTTGAAGCATCAAGTGGGGAAGCCGAGTAAAATGGTGAAGTTTGCCTTGTTGTGTTGATGTTTTAACCACTTTCACACTTTTTTCTGCTGAATGGTTTCAGTGTAAAGAATGGACCCTGCTCTATGACAGTCTTGAACATGGCCAGAGTTTAAACAGGTGAGTGATTAACTGAGGATTTCGAAGTGAATAGAGAAAGTTGTTGAGCATATGATATGAGTGCAGATCAGAGACAATTAACAGACAAAAAAGAGATTCAGCACCGCGTTTAATAATAATAATAATAATAATAATAATAACAATAATAATAACCCATTTATATAGCGCCTTTTCTACAAGATTCAAAGGCGCTGTTTACAAAAATTTGATAAAGCTAGAAAGTAAAATTAATCACGTTTACGTGAGACGTGAAGGGAAAGAGTGACCACGTGACCTTGTTTTTCCCGCCACTTTTTCACGTTTGCCGGTTGTGCTTTGCCATTTCTACGCCAAAGTAACCTGTTTCGCGTTTGCCTTAAGTAATAACAGGGTTCGTTCTACTCCTTAAACTCCTTGAAAACTACTTGAATATAATTTGCAAAATTTAGGGCGCTTGAAAACTGCTTAAAATAAGAAATTAAAAAAAAATCCTTAAAAACTCCTTGAATTTTTTACTTAAATACGCATTGAATGTGAAAAAATATATTGGAAACAATAAAAGAGAAAAAATATAGAAAGTTATCTGGTTCAAGAGCGCCTTGAGAAAAATATGTGCCGCCATATTGCAAACAAACGCTTAGAGAAGCGTTTTTTCATAGCAAAAATGACTCCTTGAAAGTCAAATTTAAGTCCTTAAATACTCCTTAAAAAGTCTTTAAATTTAACTCTGAAATTCCTTCACGAACCCTGTAATAACTTACAGGGTTTAACCCTTTTAATGCCAAGATCGAATTGTTAATTCTCCCCTCTAGCAGCTACACATTTCCTGGTAGATTAGTCACAAGAATCTGGTTTAAGATCACGATAGAAACTTCTACCTGAGAAGTTTGAGTATTCTCGTTCCCAGTTTGCTGGATCATGTATGGATATTATAAGGAGAAGTTTATCGTTGATCACATCTGTGAGTCAAAGGTTTAAACAACTTGCTACATAAGCAGCTGCCGCTGTTGTAATAAGCGGCTGTGCACGGGAAAGGGACTGTGAGGTTAAACCCAAACACAAGCCTCTCAGCAAGCGAAACAGCCGGTGGTAACAAGTCACATAAGCGCCAGTGATCGGGTTTTGATGAATCCACTGACTGACTGCTAGAGATTTAGTGGTTGTGGTTGAAGTAAAGAACTTTTGGATTTGCTTTAGGTTCAAGCATCACTGCATGGGTTACCGTGGACCTACTGTCGCTCTGTTAAAAGTTGGAAAAGAAGGATTACTCATTGCAGCTATTGATGTTGAATGGAGGTTAGGGAACGAATGTATACTGTGAAACATTAGACATGCCTTACTGTTCAAGCCAGGTGATTTAAGTCTCGACTGGCACTTTTTTTTTTTGCATTAGAAAATATTTGTAAGAGAGTTGTTAAGTTTTTTAACCCAGCCTAAAGGATTCTTTTCATCTATGAGATCAGAATGAGAAATCCGGAGCGGGAAAATGTGGTGACCAAACAAAATACAGGTTCCACTCTATCAGGCCCACGGAAGCGTCACTATAAACCCTGGACAGACAGTTTGTAAATTCTTTTCTATAAAAATGTTTTTTCCGAAAAGTTAACATTAATATGCTACATGCATTTGTCTGTGTTTTGGTCTTGGCGCTGTACAGACTAACATTCTTTCCAGTGGTTTGCGTAAATATCATTATATTTTTGTCAATTGTTTGTCATAAAAGTGTGGAGGTACAAAAGCATAAAATGACGATCGTAATTCTCCTTTCTAGTGACCATAAACTCTTAAGTAAATTAGTGATGACAATTTGGTGTTGTATCGGCGGCGACATGAAGCCCCCCCTGGTTGACGAGTTAATTCATTTGTCTAATCCATGCGCTGGATGAAGTACTGGTATTGTAAGGAGAAGGTCCTTGTTGATCGTTTTCTGAAGTGAAAAGCTGAAAAATTAATCAACCAAAGTAGTTGCTCAAAGTTCTACCTGTAATGTTTCCATCCTTTGTCCTTCAGAGAATCATCTTCAAGCTGGGGAAACTCTGATTGTAGAATTATTCAAGTGAGACCCAAGTTTCGGGTGTTAAGAGGTGAAAAATATGGACGCTTAGAGTTTAAGTGCATACACGGGTAATCGGTCAAGTCGCCCGTAAGTCATTTCGCCCGAAGTTATACCGCCCGAAACTAGAGCGAGATGACTTTCGGGCATCTTGACCGCTAATAGGTTAACACAACGTTCATTCACCCAGTTTGTAATGTGCAAACGCGAGTCACATTTGCACGTTACAAACGTGAGTTAAGAGACCCTATTTTTAGCCACGTCAGCGCGTGCAGAGGAGAGGAAGCTCTTGCTCTCATTTGTGGTCTCTTTCTGCTCCATAGATTTTCAAAAGGATGTGAGGTAATCATCAGCCAAATCAGCCCTAAGAATGTTCTACTGGCTGATCTGCGAAGCTTAGTTTATTCCGCCGGAACATTCGTACATCTTTTATAGGAACATATAAGAGTTCAGCGAACTAACATGTACGATTCCATAAGAGAGAGTGGTAGTCCAGCAAAGGGAGTTAACATTTTATTTTTTTTTTGTTCAACAGCTGGTCCAAACTTGATCTTCTTTAACGAGAGGGCTAGAGGTCTACCATCCGGGATAGTGTTGGGTCAGACTTCAAGGCCTTGTGTCACACTGGATGCTGATTTAAGAGCAGCTAAACTTCATTATCACTTGGATTTGACGCCACAGATCATCAACAAAATAGAGGTAATAATAATTTATTTACTTATATTGCGCGTGTTACATATGCAGATGCTCACACGCGCGTGGTACGAACATCACTGCAGCAGCTTTGATATTGAGATTCTCCGAGTATCTGAGAAACTGCGCGCCTACCCCTCCCTTAACGCAACATTAACTAACTTTTTGGATTAGGGGAGGGGTGGGTGACACTGACACAGATTCTCAGTACGGTGCTCAGTTGTACTTAATGCACGTTATGTCCTCGGTTTGAATCAAACATTTTGCTTTTTTTTGTCTTTTTTTCTATATTAGGTTTGGGGATGTGGAGGACAGGAAGTGAAGGCAAAACAGCAAAAACAACAACAATGGGAACGAAAACAGGCAGAAAAACTTCAAAAGGTTTGTAAACAGCGCAGATTACTTTAAAAATACTGATCCGATAGCGGAGTTTCTCCAGAAATCCAGGTTCCGAGTAACTTTTGTAGGACAAAGAGAAGGGGTTTTTAGATTAGGAATTATAGTGAACCGTCATAGTTTACGGGATTCACGTGGATCGTGGTTAGCGGAGGGTTTTGATACGAGATTGAACATATGCTTGCTATCGTTGTAAGAAAGTAGACCGTGTGCAATAAAATCAGTGAGTCGATTCATGAACTAAGAGCCGTGATGTTTCTTTTTTTCGCTGCAGGTAAAGCGGCCAGGGCGTTGGGATGACAACCCAGACAAAGCTATTCTGGACATGGCCGGTGTCACTACAAACCACAGTCAACGATAAAACAGACGGGATGCATCCATGATATTTCATCAACATATCGCTGAAGATATAATCGTTATTCCATCGGTGCTCTTCAGGGTTACTCCCACTGGGAAAGAACTTATACGCTCCAGAGAATTTTCGCAGGGAGGAATGCGATTTGAATATCACAGAGGAGACACAAAAATAGTGGCTCTGCCCTAAAACGATTCAAACAGCAACACAGGCAAAGCTCTTTGTGAAACTTAAATGAAATACTTGAAATAATGAGGGGTTCCTTGGTAGTATTTCCGAGTGCACTTATTTTCTACTGATCCCAGGGAAAGCGTTCTCCACTAAGTGTGGGGTAAAATTATAATTATATATACTGGCTGGATATTGGTGAAGTCCTATTTGTAGTGTTTTCGTTTCATTTAAAGTTGAAATAAAAGAACGTGACCATTATCCAGCCAGTATGATTGAACAAGTTTGGTCAGTTTTGTATTGTTTAATTATTCTTCTTTTCGGGTTCAAAGCGGGCTGTTCCGAGCGGAAAGGGAAGGCATCTTGTCCGCACGGTAGTCAACTGAGAAAAAAAGCCCCGCTTCGCTGTATCGTCAAAAGATTTAGTAGGTTACAATGTATTGTAGAATTTCTCGTAATAATGTAGTAATCAAATGATTCGATAAAGAGAACCATTTTCACGATCGCATTATGGCATCAGAAGATTTTTCAAAGATTTTATGCCTTTAAAATATTACGTTTAGTTATTTATTTACCTCAGATAACTGACATTTAAAATTGGCTATTTGTAAAGCAACGATAAATTTACATACAAATTTTTGGAGAGGAAAAGGAATTCGAAGAATCATTAGCATGTATCTGTCGCTTAAATAAATGATTATTTTTTAACGAAATTGACATTTGTCTGTTCATACTGTTGGCTGTAAATAGGACTTTGCTGTATTCTTTCTTCTGCCTGCTTATTTCATATCTTTAATCTTTTCCAGTTTCTTTCTCAAGAAAACATTATGTTGGGGAATACTTGTTGGAGCACGGTCATCCATTTTGCACATCAAGTACAAATGACTTGTCTGTGCGCATTACAGACCTACAATTGCCAGCTTTCTAAGTGTTGGTGAGCGAGCCAGCCGGTCAGAGTAAGTAAACCAAGATTCCACTGCCGCTTCACGCTTATGTATTGGTCAAGAAAACTCAGCCAATGAGTAGACAGCGGGCCGCAGGGATTCTCTTTAGAGGCTTGATTTATAAATCGTTTGTTATTAAAATCACAACTAGCAGCTAGCAGATGTAATTAGATAAATGTCATTCCTCTATTAACTCTCGGCCCTCTTGACACTCTTCACAAAAACCAGTGTTCGGATAAAAGATTCAGCTAACTTGAAGATGGCTTAGACTGGCGCGGGTTTGTTTAACAACGGCTAAACTTTGTTTAAACAATCGGCCCAAAGCGTTTCCCAAAACGTTTCAGGTTGTTTTTTGTTTTGACTTCGAGTCCTTATTTAGCCATATTTACCTTGGTTCTTTTGTCTTACCAGACTCAACCAAAAGCTTTCAAATTCTTTTTGTTGTTACATTCATGCTAATCATTTCTGGATTATTTTTCTTTTCCTTTGTTAATCTCCGTACGTGTCGTCGAAAGTTTTGACTCTGAAACGAGTAGAGAAAGGGATTTAAACTCGATTGTGCCACAGCCAGTAAAGCCAAACCCGATCGTAATACCACGGAACTGCTGAGACCAGAGCCCAGCTCTAGAATAAACCACGGAAGCCAACAGATATTAAACAGCAATATCACACTGCTGAGAATCTGTGTCAAGTGTCGCCGTGACTTCAAAAGTACTAAGCTTGCGGAAGGACTTTCTCTTTCGTGAAACCAGAGATGAACAAAGACTTTTCCCAAAAAGTAAACAATTATACACATAGGTAACAGAAACATGGTAGTAAATATGGTAATTCGGTAAGATCGAGGTAGCTCCTCTTGTGGTAAAGTCTCCCAGCAGATGAGTTTCTCGTTCTTAAATTCGTGCTGCTCGATGAAATACAAACTTGTTGCAAGGAATGCCAGCGATACAATCCAAATGGCCAGGAAAATGAATTTCAGTTTTCCTTTTGTTAGTGTCGTCCGCTTCAGCATTGGTTTGACAATGGATAGGTATCGATCAAACGCCAGGAAGCACATTGTGTAGATAGAAACTGACGCACTAAAAAGGGTCACTACGTTAAGTCTGCCGCACATCACGCTGTCCTTGTCACTGCCCGAGGTGAGAAACAAAATTTCGAGAACTATGTGTATCATCACAGACACACCAAGTATCAGATCACTGATCGCCATGTTCGCTATCAAAATCGATGTAAAGTTGTGAAGTTTCTTATTTTTGAACACGATCGCGCAGACAAATGAATTTCCCACGATGTTAGCGATAGAAATGATTGCATATCCGACGCTGAGGATAATTTCTTCTGCCACAGAAATTGCCATTTGAAGATGCAAATATCAGTAAACGCTCGCACCGTGGTAAACTTGAGAAATCCTTTCAAATTTGGAACCCGGGTAACTTCATTTACATATAGCGTTCGGAAAACGCGTCACTTCAACGTACATGCTTATTTTATATCTCTGCTTCCTTAGCACAAATCTGAACAAAGATAGGACACAATCAATATTCCCGTTATTAATATCGTTTAGTTTTTTTTTTTTTTTTTTAACTTTATTTTTTCATACGTACCTCCATTCACAGGGTCCAGTGAGTAGTTCAATCAATTTGAATTATTAATTATGTAATTCCCGTACTTGAAATTTTAGTAGCCAAGTAGTATTACTCATCATGTATTGTTGATGCCGCAAAGTGTACATGAAATTAAGTTTTTGAACCCTCTTCATTGTGGGAAATGAAAATACATAGAGGGTACATTTTATTTGTTTTACTTCCCTTCATATTGACATTTTAAGTTGAAGCCGAACAGTAAGAACTAAGTTTCCTGAATTCAAGATCAATGGAAGCCAATACGTGAGTAACACCCAACTGCCTTACTTTAAAAATTTCCTTTTTCCCGACCTGTTATCGAAGCCAAATAGTAATGTAATCGAGTTGAACCCCGGGTCAGATCTTTTCGTTCTGTTGGTCTAAAGAAATGACTCGGAGAACGGAGAACCATTTACTTTTCGTTTGACGCCTACATGTATTTTGGCTTTGTGCATAATTATAAGTGCATTAATTCATGAAGTCTCTGCCAAATACAGCTAAAAGTTACCTGGGTAGCCAATGCTTGAAATTAAATTACTTCAGTCATCCAGTTTGCTTCTTAAGAATCGCAAATATTCCCCAGAAAAGTTTGTAGTTTAATTTTAACATTAGTGAAGCCAGAGTTCAGTGGGAACGAAGGGTTTATCACGCATGCCTGAGGCAAGATTAATACGTGACGCGTTAAGTAAATTAAATGAGAAGGTTACATTTGTAGATAATCATCCATGCCCGACAGGTGTAAACTTAGTGTCGACCGTAGACAAACGTGACCAGTTTATCATTTCTTCTATATTTGTAATAAGTCATAAGAGATAATCTGAGGGGCTTTGAACCTTTCGTTTACATAGTTATAGATAGAGATAATTCCTTAGTGGAGAAAGATATGACTCAGACGAGAAGTGCGCATATTGTATCTCTGACTCCTTCTACAAGAGCTTTGCCCAAGCCAGGAAAACTGGCAGCTTTTCATGACTACTTGATTTAGATCAAAGGATTTCCATTATCCCATGAAATCTTCATTACCAGCAAGATCAGTTGTTTAAAGTGCACCAAAACCCAAATATTTTTTTTCGCTTAACGAAATAAGCGTATTTTTTGGAGTATTTCTGTGCAAAAATTTTATTATTTGCTCAAATCTTCAATTTTCTGTCCCCAGTCAAATTACAGAAAATCGGCCGCCATCTTGCCCCACGACCGAGTTTAAAGAGGAATGGCTCTAGTGAGTAATGTGACGCCAAATCGAGAACATGAAAGTCTTTTTTTCACACATTTTCACTTGTTTGGGAAGGTTGTAGTCGATATAGTCCGAAAATATGCCGACTAAGTGTGTTGTAGAAGGATGTAGCAACGTGCGAAATTTGCAAGAGGGTATCGCGCTTCATACATTCCTCATACAACACACCTAGTCGGCATATTTCGGACAATATCGACGACAACCTTCCCAAACAAGTGAAAATGTGTGAAATGCAGACTTTCGTGTTCTCGATTTGACGTCACATTACCCACTAGAGCCATTCCTCTTTAAACTCGGTCGTGGGGCAAGATGGCGGCCGATTTTCCGTATTTTGACTGGGCATAGAAAATTGAAGATTTGAGCAAATAAAAAAATTTTTGCGCAGAAATACTCAAAAAAATAAGCTTACTTCGTTAAGCGAAAAAAATTTTTTGGGTGTAGGTGCACTTTAA